TGATTTAATGTTTTCTTTTGGTAATACATCCTCTTGATAAGAACATACATGGGCATAAAATTTTTCTTCTTGTATATAGAGCATGGTAACTAACTTATTTCGTCGAAAACGAAAAATAGTCATCCTGATTAAAAATTATCCATTGGTTATAGTTCACAGTTCTGATAATTTGCCTATGTAAATAAACGCGTCCAACTCTAACAAATTTTTTAAGTCAGCTTAAAGATTATCTATTCATATTAAAATTACGCGCACAAGTTTATTAAACAATGAGAAGTTAAAAAAATCAATTTTGTACAAAATTAATCAAATCATCTATTTAACGAAAAAAATTATTTACTAAAATGTTTATTCAATTGGAGCAAATCCAACAGCAAGATTTTTGATATCGTATGCACTATACACGTTCTTGAGGAAAGTATCACCGATTAACCATTGGTTAGCTCCACCGACATTGCCACCAGTAATACCAGAAAGACACAAATTTTGTTTTGCTTTTTCACGAGCAAGATCTTTTGTTGAAATTTTATAGGTAACTCCACCGAAAGTGAGAGCAACGACGGCTTTAGTATTGCATGGGACAAGGTATTCATCTTGTTGAAAAACGGCACCTTCAATTGCTTTGTGGATAGCAGCAGCGTCCGCGGGAGGAACTATGAGGAGAGTCGTTCCAGTATCAATAATAGCAGTTCTTTTGCTGAATCCAAGAGGCTTGCCGTTGACGCTAGCATCGTCTAAAGCGATTTCCCAGAAACCATCTTGACCCACGAGTTTGTTATAGTTGAGTTGACCAGTGAATTTTGAAGAGTCAACACCACCAAGAGTTAATTGACTGTTGCTGCCATCTTTCTGGCGTCCGAGAAAAAAACCAAAAATTGGATCTTTAACAAAATTTTGTGCAACAAGTTCAGAGAAAGGTGTTTTTGCATTTTGTGAACTTAATTTATCCAGACCCATTCCGAGTATTCCATCAGCTTCATCTGTCTTAAAGTCCGATGACATTTTTGTGGCAAGTCCAAAAATTTGATTTTTTATTATTACACCAGCAAATGAGACGTCATCTTTTGCGATGATTCCAGACACTGAGCCAGTACCATATCTAATGTCAAATGTCGTATTATCGCTTGTAAATCCTTTGCTCTTATTCGGATCATAAGATTTGTGTTTTTTGCAAGCTGCATTAGTACATGATTGCGCTGGCACCCAAAGATCAGCTGAACCAGTATCAAAAACTACATCAAATGGTTGTCCTCCTATTTTAATTGGTCCGTGATATCCAATGTCAAAGCCTTCATCTTTAAGTGGACTATTTATTACATTGTTGTCGATTAAGCTATTACCCTTTCCTTTTTTTATCCCTTTTCCTTTTTTATTTCCTTTTCCTTTTTTATTTCCTTTTCCTTTAGGTTTCTTTTTAACAACAAATGTTTTTGGGGTAACAAGACCAACTACGGGAGTAATGGCCGCTTCTAAAGTTCGAATTGCTTCTTCTCCAACCAAACCTTTACTGTATGCTGTTCTTATGTTCTCAGAATACTTTACAATTGCACTATTTCTATAAAGTTTTGAAATTTGGAGCCAAGTATACGATTTGGAAGGACCTACTTTTCTCAATGAGATTTTATGTGCAGTATATTTATTTGGCACTGCGTCAATTGTTAGAAAAGTTGCTGTCATGAGCAAAACCAAAGTTTGCATAAACTTCATGTTAAATTATTGGTCTTTTATAAGTAGTAAAGAAAGTAAATATTTGATAATTGAACGTATAATACAGCTAGATATAGAAACCTGTCTATATCAAGAGTAAAGGAAGGAAAGGGAGGAAAACGAGAAGCTTTTTTTTAGATTAATAGTGGTTATCGAATCGACCCTGTCGAGTTTGCAACAAAATTCATTTCATCGAAGAGAAGATTCATTTTTATGAACAATTTTTCTGTATGCTGCATGCTTAATTTTGAAAATAAAAACTTTTATGGCGCATAACAATAATCATTATTTTTTGAATAACTCGATTTCAATTATTCTATTGGTCAAATAATTAACCATTGGCGAAACAACACGCATAATTCTCAAACTCACCAGTCCGGCTGTGGCTCCTTACAGCATATATTTATATTATGCATGCATACATTACTCCTGTATTAGTTTGATTGTTATCAATCAATGAATGCTAAATTATTATTGGTTGCAGACTTATGTAGCAAAAAAATTTGTATGCTAAAAACTGTGTTCTGTGTTTCAAATTTTTCTCTTAGCCTACTACTGCCTATTACTATATATAGAAATAAGGCTTATTTGAATTTTCACATAATAAGGGGAGTGGCATTTACTAATTTCCCCCGAAGTTTTGATTGGACAATGGAATATCTTGCCTCTGATTAATATTAATATAATTAATATTAAAGTTTGTTTATAAAGTTAGGATTAGGTTAAGGTTAGAGTCAGTGATCAAGATTATATGTAAAATTTCCTTCTGAGCATTTTTGTAGCATGACACCCCCTAAACAATTATTCTCCGACAGAAATAATAGGTAAACCCATTTTATAATACAAAGATAAAAACTTATTGAATTGATTCAATCGCTAAACGATAGATGTTTCGATTTATTGTTTTGAAAAGATATTTACAAACATGTAGATCTGTCATTTGATTATCCAATTCAGAAATTTGCAGATATATTCAATCCACATGCGTAATGCTCGAAAATTCTGTACAATATAAAGTAGAATTTTTACCAAATAGTAATAATTTATCTTTTAAATATAATCCAAAAAAGCATATTGTTTTATTTAACTGGTGCAAATCCAACGGCAAGCTTTTTAATATCGTAGGCACTATACACGTTCTTGAGAAAAGTATCACCGACTAACCATTGGTCAGCTCCACCGATATTACCGCCAGCAATACCAGATAAACACATATTATTTTGTTTTGTTGGTTCACGAGCAAGATCTTTTGGTGAAATTTTATAGGTGACTCCACCGAAAGTGAGAGCAACGACAGCATCAGTATTGCATGGGACAAAGTATTCACCTTGTTGAGAAACAGCACCTTTAATTTCTTTGTGGATAGCATCAGCATCCGCAGGAGGAGCTATGAGAAGAGTCGTGCCAGTATCAATGATGGCAGTCTTTTTGTTGAATCCAAGAGGCTTGCCGTTGACACTAGCATCGTCTAAAGCGATCTCCCAGTAACCAACATTACTCACAAGTTTATTATACTTGAGTTGGCCGGTGAACTTTGAGGAGTCAATACCACCAAGAGTTAATTGACTGTTGCTGCCATCTTTTTGACGTCCAAGGAAGAAACCAAAAACTGAATCTTTTACGGCATTTTGTGTAACAAGATCAGAAAAAGGCGTTTTTGCTTTTTGTGAGCTTAATTGATCAAGGCCCATTCCGAGTATTCCATCGAATTCTGTATCTTGAAAATCTTGCGACATTTTTGTTGAAAGTCCAAAAGTTTGACCCTTTGCTACTGCACCAGCAATTGAGATGTCATCTTTTGCAATAACTCCAGAAACTTCACCAGTACCATATCTAATTTGAAATGGCTTATTATCAGTTGTGAATCCTTTGCTTTTTTTCGGGTCAAAAGATTTATGAGCTTTACAAGCTGCATCATTGCATGCTTGTGCAGGTATCCAAAGATCAGCAGAACCGGTATCAAAAATTACATCAAATGTTTGTCCGCCTATTTGAACTGGACCGTGATAACCAATATCCATTCCTTGATCTTTAAGAGGGTTGTTGACAATTCCTTTGCCTGAATTGTCGGGTTGATTGCCGGAATTGTCAGGTTGACCATTATTAGGATTGTTGGAATTGTCAGGTTGACCATTATCGGGATTTCCGGAATTGTCAGGTTGACCATTATCGGGATTGTTATTGTTTTTGCCACCATTCTTGCTACCATTGCTGCCTTTGCCGTGTTTTCCTTTTCCTTTTCCAGTAGAACCGACGCCGTTGCTATTATCACCACTATTGCTATTGTCACCGCTATTGCTATTATCACCGTTATTATCACCGCTATTGCTATCACCATTACCAAATGGATCGTCTCCATTTGAATCGTTGCCAAATGGGTCGTTTCCATTTGAATCGTTGCCAAATGGGTCGTCTCCATTTGAATTGTTGCAAAATGGGTCGTTTCCATTTGGATTGTTGCCAAATGGATCATCTGCATTAGTCTTTCCTTTCTTAAGGCTAGCATTGATAATGAAACTTTTCGGTGCGGAATCACCAAATACAGGAGTGGTAGCAGCATCTAATTTTACGATGGCTTCTTGACCGACTAAACCATGATCATAGGCTAATCGAATATTATCCGAATATTTCAATATTGCACGATTTTTTTCGATCAACGACTTTTGGAGCCAAGTAAAATATTCGGGTAAATCATTCTTCTTCAAGTCAACTTTGAATATGGATTGTTTCGAGGTGGGTGCTGCATCAGCTGTTAACGAAATAACTGCCATCAAGAGAGCCAATGCTGTATAAACCTTCATTTTTATAGCTTATTTTTAGTTGATTGGATTAATGCGAGCTTATTGAACGGTTCGAAAAAATGTATTTTTTAAAACGAAGTTTTTAAAGATGAAATTACAATAAGATACAAGACCAGCTTGTATCTTAAAATGTAAAGTATATAGAAGGAATGAAGAATTGAAGGTTTCTTGATTAGCTACTCTTGTTTGAATTTGCGACAAAAAATCAAATTAGAGGCGTGGCTCTTTTATACTTTTGAGCTTTCGAAGATGTTGATCTTTCGAGTAGCATACATGCATGCATTCGGAACTAGTGTTGACACAATAACATATATTATTTATTTCCTTGTTAAACAAAATGCGATCTCTTAACTCGGATTTTAAACAAAAAATTTGAGTTCGCTAGGATTAAAAACGAGCCACGCAACAGTATATTACTTAACATATATGCACTTGATTTTAGCGTGCATGCGTAAGCGATAGTGTTAATTAATACACGTTTTAAGAGATTTGTTTTGGCACATCAAACATTGGTTTTCTTATTTTGGAAAACAAAATTAATTAGGAGAATATACACTCTGCTCTCGCCAATGTGACGTTAATACAATCTGTTTCTAGGACATTATTAATATTTAACATTATATGCTAAGTTTGCAAAACAAACAATAAACAATAACGATAACCATTTGAAATAATAACCGATTTCAATATTTTGTTTGACTATTGTTAGTTCGTGTGACAAATATGTATATAGTGAAGTTTCATAATTACAATGATATAAGAAGAATCTGTGACAAATTTATCAAACTGTAACACAATTTTAAGGGCATATGTTAAATTGCCTCGCTGACATTTTTATTAAGGCTTCAAACTAGATTTAAGCATGTGTTTTTTGTTACCCGGCATTTTATTAGACTTGTCTTAAGAGCATTTGGAAAAATTCTTTATAACCAATAATGATACTACGTTTCGGGTGGCAATTCTATAGATGTTACCCCGATTGAAACAAAAAAATCAAAAAAGTCGATTTTTAGTGATCAAAAGTGAATTTATTTAGGAATTTCGTGATTAAAATTTCGATTGTTTAAATCTAAAATCTTTGATTAAATAATACACAGTGAAAGTCGATATAACGGACCAGTCGGTTCCATTAGTAAAAATTTTCAAAAATCCGTTATAACGAAGA